ATAACCACTGGCACCAATGATCTACCAATATGAGGGGGTCCTATAATGATCACTGGTGTAAGTGGGCTTTTCCTCATTCAGCCCATATAAGGGGCACTTTTCTACTGCCCATCAATGTAAGGTACACTACAATTTGCACTGTCTGCAATTCTTTTCTGTCCATCATTATAATTAATTTCACTTCATGATTGTTACTGGAAAAATGGTTTTATAGAGGAGGGGGGTTGGAAAGTTTGCTTGGTAAACCAAGAAATCCCTCTGATTACAACGCAAAGAGCTGCTGAAATCACCCTTAGCTGGATTGTAATTGCCAGGCAACCATTGGACAGCACTATGCAACCTCATGTGCGAAAAGTATTCATCTATCAGAACTATGCTGCTGTATTTGCGGTCTGATTTTTGGTATACAAACTAAGGAGGGCTGGGGGCCTCATACAGGTTTTTTTTTATTCATAAAAAGGTACAGCTGTACTTTCGTAAAGTTTAACACAGAAAACCATGTTGTGAAAATGAACGCTAGCAAAAATGAAATGCTGTCTCTAGATCTACACTGACACCTACAGTTCATTCATGAAGCAACCAGACCTTATTTAGATTTTTATTACTTTCTGTAAATGTTCAATTGCTGAAAAACAGGCCGGACTTCATGCTCACTTTAAAAAGGAATGGGCTCCTCCAGGCACACCTGCCCTTAATCTATCCATTTATACATGTGCTCCTACTATGGAGGCTTTGGAAATTTTAGTTAGGTCCACAGTATACAGAGGACCCTTGATGTGGGACTGTGGCTTATGCATGTACGGGTGAAACTCAAAAAATTACAATATCGTGCAAAAGTTCATTTATTTCCATAATGCAACTTAAAAGGTGAAACTAATATATGAGATAGACTCATTACATGCAAAGCAAGATAGTTCAAGCCGTGATTTGTCATAATTGTGATGATTATGGCTTACAGCTCATGAAAACCCCAAATCCACAATCTCAGAAAATTAGAATATTGTGAAAAGGTGCAATATTCTAGGCTCAAAGTGTCCCACTATAATCAGCTAATTAAGCCATAACACCTGCAAAGGGTTCCTGAGCCTTTAAATGGTCTCTCAGTCTGATTCAGTAGGAATCGCAATCATGGGAAAGGCTGCTGACCTGACAGTTGTGCAGAAAACCATCATTGACACCCTCCATAAGGAGGGAAAGCCTCAAAAGGTAATTGCAAAAGAAGTTGGATGCTCCCAAAGTGCTGTATCAAAGCACATTAATAGAAAGTTATGTGGAAGGAAAAGTGTGGAAGAAAAAGGTGCACAAGCAGCAGGGATGACCGCGGCCTGGAGTGGATTGTCAGGAAAAGGCCATTCAAAAGTGTTGGGAACTTTCTGTTGCTCAGTAGTCCAAAGTCCTCTTTTCTGATGAGAGCAACTTTTGCATCTCATTTGGAAATCAAGGACCCAGAGTATGGAGGAAGAATGGAGAGGCACACACTGCAAGATGCTTGAAGTCCAATGTGACGTTTCCACAGTCTGTGTTGATTTGGGAAGCCATGTCATCTGCTGGTGTTGATCCACTGTGCTTCATTAAGTCCAGGGTCAACGCAGCCGTCTACCAGGAGATTTTGGAGCACTTCATACTTCCTTCCACAGATGAGCTTTATGGGGATGCTGACTTCATTTTCCAGCAGGACTTGGCACCTGCCCACACTGCCAAAAGCACCAAAACCTGGTTCAATGACTGTGGGATTACTGTGCTTGATTGGCCAGCAAACTCGCCTGACCTGAACCCCATAGAGAATCTATAGAGCATTGCCAAGAGAAAGATGAGAGTCATGAGACTGAACAATGCAGAAGAGCTGAAGGCCACTATTGAAGCATCCTGGTCTTCCATAACACCTCAGCAGTGCCACAGGCTGATAGCTTCCATGCCATGCCGCATTGAGGCAGTAATTGCTGCAAAAGGGGCCCAAACCAAGTACTGAGTACATATGCATGCTTATACTTTTCAAAGGTCCGATATTGTTCTATGTACAATCCTTGTTTTATTGATTGCATGTAATATTCTAATTTTCTGAGATTGTGGATTTGGGGTTTTCATGAGCTGTAAGCCATAATCATCACAATTATGACAAATCACGGCTTGAAATATCTTGCTTTGCATGTAATGAGTCTATCTCATATATTAGTTTCACCTTTTAAGTTGCATTACTGAAATAAATGAACTTTTGCACAATATTCTAATTTTTCGAGTTTCACCTGTATTTGCAAATGTGTGCAAACAAAAACCCTCTGTTTTTAACGCAAACTGATAGACAGGGCGAAATTGGTTGTTTCGCAGGCTGGCTGGTAAGTGTTGCTGGGGAACCCTTTGTTAGTTTGTGATGTGCTTTGCCCCTCCATTTGCACCTTAGTGCTAAGGGTGGTTATAGGTTGGGACGGTTGCCATTTTTTGTGTAGGTGGCTAATTTGGATGCAGGAATGCACTGGATGCCTTTCCTGTTATTTTGTATAGCTTGGCGTCACGTGTGTCCCTGTACCTTTAAGGAGGTATAGGCTCCTCCAGGCACACCTGCCCTTAACCTATCCATTGTTTGCAATGTGCATTACCCTTCTATGTGCACCTTACTGCTAAGGCTGTTTATAGGTTGGGACGGTTGCCATTTATTGTGTAGTTGGCATTAGAAAAGAGTGAATATCTCCTAAACGTGCACCGTTTAGGAGATATTAATTTTTCTTACATGTGAGCTTTAGTATAAACTTGCCTGTAGGTAAAATTAAAAAGAACGAGTTTACTACCACTTTAAAGCACAAAGTACATCCCAAGAAAATATTACTTCCTCCTACCAATACAATTCCCCTGCCACCCCCAGCACAAATTCCCCCCTCTCTGACCAATGGACTAGGTCCAGTTGCCTTAGGTCCAGTAATCATCAGACCTAGGCATTGCATTGCATCTGCTATTCAGCTGATGAGTGGCTAAGGTCCCAGCACTGCAACCTCCTGTGCTTTTTTACTTCAGGTACCACCTTCTGTCCTTATCCACTGCCAAACCTGTAGCACAGACATGAGAAAAAGATTCAGAGCACAAGGTAATGGTTTACAATCACTTTAACAATAGAGTCCTTTAGACCTCTTTATTATTCACTAATAGAATATTTTAAAAATAAAAATAATTTTTAAAAAATGTGTACGGGACCTTAAAGGTTAAGTTCTCCCTTTCACAAAAATAATAAATGCACATCTTATTTTCAGGTAAAAAAATGTGCACTTACTATTTTTTGTTGTGGGAGCCTCGAAAGCATTGCACCAGCGCTCAGCAGACCTGTCAGTGTTTCTGTGTGCTCATACATTGTACGGTCAATCAGATACTCACTGACAGAAAGAATCAATGAACTACCACAGAGCTCAACAACACAATGGTTATTCATTGAGGACTACAAGCCAACAAAAGTTTTCCATTTACAGAATATTGTGATGATGAAGATAGGCAGGCAGAGCCCATGGCTGCATTAAAAAAAAAATATTGACGGCTAGCTTCTCACCCACTAGCTGTCAAAGTGGGGGATTGGGGGGGATCAGGGGCAGATCCTTTAGGAAAATATTACATGTTACACCCTGAATATGGGTGTAACATGTTACAAAAAGTGAACTTATCCTTTAAGGGCACATCGAAGACTAAACAACTACAGTCAAAAAGAAGAACAACGTCATAAAAAATCAGAGATGTTATTCAAATCATATTAAAACATCACATATATAAGCAGCATGCCTGATCCAAGGAATATTACACCCTTGATACAAAACCCATTGTTGTTATAGCACTCCTATTTGCAGATCGTACAATAATCATATTGTAGCGATTACCCCCACATGAGTTGCTGGTGATGATGGGTTCTCTGTTCTGCACCACTCTCTGAATTGATTTATCCACAATGACACATATGGTTACATGCTGAAGGCCTGTTCACACCTGTGCAACTTAGTGTTAGTAAAATGCCACTCTATAATAATGTACAGAAAAAAAGGCCACAAACAACTTGGTGAGAGAATATTTAGATGTATGAAGGCAATGCAATTAAACTGCGTAAATCAATGAACAGGCTATCAAACAGATTTAAAGATATTGTACTAGATAAATGATCACTGACCCATAAACTGGCAATCTATAGAACCATAGCTTACATATGTTAAATTGGATTATAATTGGTGCAAAAAAGGATTAAAGTATCAGCATGATCTGACCCAAGAAATAGAGGTCCTTGTGTGCACACTATGCCTACAGCCCCAATAGCTGGTGGGCACATGCGTTCCTGAGACAGGGATAGCCCTGAAGATGGCTGCAATGTACCTGGAATGTCAGCTGTGACTGACCTATGATGGGGTCCTTCTGTAGGTGGTGCATATGTAGCTGTCCCTTTAATAGAGTGCAGCAGAAGGCTAGTGGCCTGCTAAACAAAGGAGGGTGGGGGGGGGGGGTCTCTCCTGCATTAAATGTGTCAGTGTTGAGATAATGGCAGATGTTAAGCTCACCGCTCCAGGTACACAGGAATCTGTTCCAGATTGCTTTGTGGTCTGCAATCCTCTGAAGTCAGGTCTCACAAGGCTTAGTCTCTCTGCTCGGATACTCACAAGGCTCATAGGTCTTAGCCTTCTGGTCCCTTTCTTTCAGATGTAGGTAAACAGGCACATGCAGCAGGCTGTCTTTCTTAGGCTCATCACATGAGACTCTCTGCATCTGTCCCTTTAGTGCAGGCCCAGCAACAGGTCCACTTCGTTCAGCTTCTCCTCAACAAAAGACCCCAATTTATCTAAAATGCCGTTTTCTAAAATGCAAGGATGTGTGCCTCTTGTAGTCCAAGCTCCCATTCACTTCCATTGTACAGCCTCCTTTAAAGTGGAGTTCCACTCACCCTGTCAAAAATTAAACGTCAGCAGCTACAAAAACTGTAGATGCTGACTTTTAAAAAACAGCCACTTACCTGTCCCTCGGTGCCTTGGTGTGTCCCCCCGCAGCCCTGTATTCCAGGAGGCCGGCATCTTCAGTGTGGGCACCCGGCTGTGATAGCTTGTGGCTTCACAGCCGGGTACCCACTGCGCATGCGCAAGTAGCGCTGAGCTTCATGAATGGTCCTGTAGTCTTCTGGGATCTGTCACATGTCCCAAAAGACTACAGGGAGGGAGGACACCTTCTGCTTCCGATCGCCTAGGTGATCGGTCTGGAAGTGGGAGCGGGTACCTGTCAAATTGCGGTACCCGCCCCACAATGTTGCCAATCCTTAATGGGGAGCGGGGGAGCAGCCCTTAAAGTGGAACTTCCCCTTTTGGGTGGAGCTCCGCTTTAAGTACTACATGATCCTCTGCTACACAGCAAGTCTCCTTCTCTGATGTTCCCATTGGCTCTGACTCCATTGCCCCCCTGCTGCCCAGGGGGGAGGGGGTAGAAGAAGAGCTGGCAATTTTAAACAGATTCCACTCCAGTCCCTCTATGCATCAGCAATGAGGGAGGATGTGGGGCATGTAGGGGGAAAGTTTTACAAGGATCCAGCTCGCCCTGCATACAGCTGGGGAGCGAGGGAGGGGAGAGAATCATCTGAACATCACACAGCCCTGTGCTCCTCTCAGTTGACAGCAAGTGGTGGTGGAAGCAGCACACACCCCACAGCTCCTCCAGCCACTACAATATCATATCTTGTAATTGAGTAAATATATCTAGGTGGAGCGACCCAACGGGTTTCAATATAAATCTTCCTCTGTGGTTGGGGTGGTAATTCATATACAGCAGCGGTTCTGAACCTGTGGGTTGCGACCCCTTTGGGGGTCGAACATCCATTTCACAGGGATCGCCTAGGAGCATCGGAAAACACATATTTCTGATGGTCTTAGGACCCTGTCATCTGGCCACACCCCTGGGATCACTCAACAGCTCCGCCTCCTCGCCGGTGATTGCCCGCCGGAACTGTAGCTCAGGAGAGGCACACAGGCGGCCAATCATCGGCGAGGAGGTGGAGCTTGGAGAGGAGGAGCCGAGCGGCAGCGTGAAGATCAAAGAAGATCGAGTGAGGGAGTTGCCGGAGCGAGTGAAGAGGAGAGTGGCCGGAGAAGGAAGACAGCTGACTGGTAAGTGTCTGCACCGTGCAGATGGTGCTGCTGCAGCCAGGTATGCTGGCTGTAGATGGGAGAGGGAGGGAGTGAGCCCAGGTTGGAGCAGAGGTCAGCAAGGTAAGTATCATTGGTGTCAGTGGGAGGAATAGTGCCCCATCATTGATGTCACTAATACCAATGATGGGGCACTTTTCCTCCCACTGACTCCAATGATGGGGCACTATTTCCCCGCCACTGACACCAATGATGGGGCACTATTCCTCCCCCCACTGACACCAACAATGGGGCACTATTCCTCTCCCCGCTGACACCAACGATGGGACACTATTCCTCCCCCACTGACACCAACGATGGGACACTATTCCTCCCCCACTGACACCAACGATGGGGCACTATTCCTCCCCCCATTGACACCAATGATGGGGCACTATTCCTCCCCCCACTGACACCAACGATGGGGCACTATTCCTCCCCCCACTGGCACCAATGATGGGGCACTGAAAAACTGTGGCAGACTCTTTACAGTTTGTATATGAGTTACCACCTCAACTACAGAGGAATATTCATATTGAAACCAACCTTTTGGATTGCTCCATCTACACACACAGCATTTACTCAACTACAAGATATGATATGATTAACAACAATTAATGATGTAACAGCAATTGGTTATTGTATCAAGGGTGTAATATTCTTTGGATCAGCCATGTTGCTTTTATATGTGATCTTTTAAAAGGGTTTGAATAAAATGTCTGATTTTGTTTATGACATTGTAGTTCTTTTAAACTGTGTTTTATTCAGTCTTCCATGTGCCCTTATACTCCCATCCACCATTGGTTCTGATCTCCTTATGTGACAGTGTGGTGATCTGTCATGATGTAAAAAGGATATTTGGCCCAGAATTCTCAACAAGGCAGACTGAGGGGCTCCAGGGTGCTTGGTGAAGTTGGAGGAAACTGTGTTTTCAGTTTCCTCGGTTCTTTGCAAAACTCTGGGACCTGGGGCCTGGAGATTTTGCAGTGATCTGGGGGGGAGGAAATCTCCAATCCTGGGACCAGGTTTTGGGAATGGCCAGGAGACTGATTGTGCAGGTGTGTGTGGGTCTCTTCAAGAGTCAAGACTAGGGTTCTGGGCTTCATCCTCCCGATGTGTCTATAAGGGAGAAGCCACAAGTGTGCATGGTGGCACAGTGTAGTCTGACACACAAACAGGGCCCAAGCCTGTGGGCTGGAGAAGCAGGAATGCTGTGAAAGAGCGCTAACCATGGTACAGCATTTGTATGTGAATGGTCAAGAGGACCGAGGCATAAAGCCTGAGCAGCGGTGCTGCTAAAGAGAACCAGGACGCTGAATCTTTTTCTTTGCATTGATGGTGGATACCCCATGCTCGGGAAACCTATATTGTATGGAGTTTTCTTGTTTCCTTTATTAAAAGTGGACCAACAAGCCTTTAAACAATAATATCTAACGTGGACTCTACTAACTGGTAAGCACTACCCTGAGCTAAATAACCCCCAAATATTACACTATATAAACATTAGAGATGTTGGCACATAGTAGAATTTAAAAATCCTTTCTAATATTGGTACAGTTTATCAGTGGTGTCGCTATGGGTGTGTGTGAGGTGTGGACCTCACTTGGGTGACACCTGCCAGAGGGATGACACCAGACTCAGACAGACCAGCACCCACATTATCCCTTACCATCTGTCATGCTAGAGGAGGAGCCTGAAATGCCCACCCATACCTCCCTCCGTGGGCGGCCGCTGCACTCAGAGGCCGGTCAGTGCCCTGGCTCATCACTATGGACACCAACCCTAGTGACGCCACTGGGTGGGACCAGCCATGAGCAGGTTCTGATGAGCAGCCACAGCCCTCACCACTATTGGAAGATCCACCAGGAGCTGTCCTATTTATCATCCAGGTCTGCTATGGTCTCCAGCATGGCTTCCATTCTGGATGGGACTGGGGCCACCATCCTGAGCTGTCTATCCCCTTGCACTATGACATAAGCATGCCTTGTGACTCCTCACTACCTGGGATAGGCATGAGCAGCACCTACACCACCCTAACATCACTCTAGCCACTGCCCCCAATCTTCACTGTGTCAGACAAGTGCCACCATCACCACCACTTGTGGCTCTCTGGCAATGTCAGTGGTAGCTTCACCCTGATGAGGGATGACAGGGGGATCCCCTCCATGGACAACCTGTACAGCCCCTACAATGACGTGACTAGAATGGGGCACAGCATGTCCCCCTTGACAGCTACCCCTCTAGGCAATGGTTTGGGCTCCATCCACAACAGCCAACAGAGCCTGCACAACTATGGACCACCTGGACACAACAAGGTGCTCAGCCCAAACTTTAATGCCCACACTGCAATGCTGGCAAGAGGCAATCAGCACCTCCCCAGGGGGCTGGCTACCCCACCATCTGCCATGATGTCTCACCTCAATGGGATGCAACACACTGGCCATGCTCAATCTCATGGGCCCGTGTTGACCTCCAGCCGTGACAGGACACCCTCCTCTTCCAGGTCCCAGTAGAGCAACTCTGGACAGTTGGATGAGATTAACACCATAGAAGTGGCGCAGAGAATCACCGCTGAACTCTAAAGGTACAGCATCCCCCAACCTATCTTAAATGGTGAGCCATGGAGCTTTAGTAGGTTTGGAGTGTGCACCGTGACCGTGCACTGCCAGCCTGAGACTAGCCAGTCCATGGGGGAAGGAGTGACACCATGTTTTGCAGCACCAGGTGACACCAACCCTAGTGACACCACTGCAGTTTATAAATGAATTAATCTAAATATACAAACCCAATTAACAAAAAAACTATGCAGGGATGGGGCTGAGGTACCCAATCTGGGAGAGGTCACACACTTAGTCGGAAGTTGTATATGATTTTGTATATTGTAATAAGGTTAACAGAGGTGTTTGCAGATAGTAGCTAAAGGCACTGATATTCCAGTAATAAAAGGTAGGATAGATTTTCCCTATGAGGATGCCACTGTATCACATGATGACGTGCATCAGAGGCAGAGCCACATGATGTCATCATGCCTGAAAGTTTGCACCGGGTGACACCGACAGCATGGGGTGACACCGGACCCGCTCCACAAAAGGGTAAGTGGTAAAGCAAGCCGACGATCCCCGCAGGATGGGGGGGGGGGATTTAGTGTGTTAGTTTGCCTTTTAACTTTTTATGAAAAGGTGAACTTACACTGTGAATGATAACTTCACTTTTTTGCAGGTAAATATGTGCATTTTTTTTTTCTAGGAGCCTGCAGAGCATTGCAAAAAGCACCGGCGAAGATCACAGGTGCATTGTCAGGCTCCTATAAACACTCAGTATAGCTGTCTGCCCATACCTCCATACAGACAAACAGGTACTGAAGAGCAGGAAGATTCAATGAAATATGAGGGCACTCACCAGCACCATCAAAGTTCATTGAGGACTACAAGCCAGCTGCCGCAGTGGCAGACTGGACTTGCAGTTCATTAATTCACAGAAGTGGGTACAGATAGAGGATCCCTCTCCCGCTGTCACAATAGAGGATCAGGGGGGTGGAGGGCTTTGTCTTTAGTAACATGTTACTAAAGGTGAACTTATCTCTTAAAGTGGTTGTAAACCTCAGACGTGAAATATGGACAAAGCATATTCCTGTATAGTGTGTACTTGTCATAATTAAGAGCACTAAATGTCACTTCTGTCTGCTGCTTCCTTCCTCTGCTATTAATCACTTCTGACAAGTTTTCCTGACACCAAGAAAAAATGGTGACAGGGGAGGGACCTCCACAATATTGATAGCTTCAGCTCTGTTCTTGTGAGCTGTGTGGAGGGAGGTGTATCTCTTTCCTCCAATCAGCCCTCAGAGCTCTCCTCACTAAGCTCTGCAAAGTGTAATTTCAGCTCTGCGGCACTTTTTTCTGAAAGCTCAGATAAGCTTTATAAATTCTACTCTTTGAACGGCTGTAGAGCAGATACAACTGCAAATAAACAGGTACAACTTATGTAGGAGGTTATGTTTCATCTCTATGTATCCCCTGAGGCTAGTCACTTCACTGGGTACATGTTAGAGTTTACAACCACTTTAACGATTAGGTTAAAATACCCTATCATTAAAGTTTAATGAATTGAGATTTTTACACGATTACTGATTTCCACAATCATACCAATATACACATATTAAAAGTATCTGTTCTGTCTGCTTATATTCACATTTGTGTCCCTGTACAGAAATCTGTATATCAAGAT